TATATAATATGAAAACGAAATATATATTAAAGTTTCTATACCTTTATCAATCAGAAATTTGCGATTCAATATATACAATATATACATACATATACATATATATATTGCGATAGTTGAGCAAATCCTAAAAATAATTTATTGTATTGTCATTTACAAAAATTTACGATTCTAACAATACTTTTCGAATAAGCATCTAAAAATTCATTAAAATTAAAATGAAATCGTAAGGAAGTATAAAAAATAAGTCAATTAAGATAAAGCTGTTATTTACTTTTATAAAATACCAAACGAGTGTTTGTCAACTATATAAAATTGCAAACGAGTGTTTGTCAGCTTATCTTAGTTAACTTTGAAAATCTATATCTATATCCTGATGCTCGTGAATGTCAAAATGCAAACTAAATCGAAGACTAGTTTAAAAAAAATAAATAAGAGAAAAACTTCAGCGGTTTATAAAAGGAAAGAAGAAGAAATCGAACTAATAATTATTATAATAGCGATTATGATACTAATAAATAAATATATTCAGGCATTTTTATAATGATACTTAAGACCCTCGTTCTACATAGGCGCCCATGCATATATATACAAAGGTACATATGCATACTGCATTGTATTGCATTCGTTTATATATTATACTGCATTGCGTTTTAATATGTTGTGTTGTATTTATTGTTGAATTGTATTTTAATATATATAGACAGTGTTAATTTCCAATAAAAAGTTTTTAAATACAACTAAAACTCCTGCTTTTCAATTGCTCCTTTATTAGCTATTGCAGCATAAATATCTACGATCAGTAATAAATAGAAAATACTCGTATATATCTTGGCTACACTGAGGAGTCAGTGCTTCAAGACAGAGTGTCCCTCGATATTGATCAAAATTAAAAAATTCATATGTGTTCGTTGGTCAATGTTCTGTTTCCGTGAGGCATTTGTCTTGAGACTCATTTCGTAATCGTATTGGTTTAAATCGTACATATGCACATATAAAATAGGTCGGCCACTAAATAATTTCGTTTAATAAGATCAGATGATTTTAATGAATTTTGTTGCAGCCAACTTCTCTCTAACCACTTTACCGTTCTATATTTGGATAGCTGATATAATAAGGCATATTTGTTAAAATTTTTGTTAGATTTTTATACCCTGATTCCATTGAAAATGGGAAATCAGGTTATAATGGTTTTGCTGAAATGTATGTAACAGGCAGAAGGAGGCGTGACAGACCCCACAAAGTTTATATATTCTTGATCAGGGCGGCGAGCTGAGTCGATTTGGCCCTGTCCATCTGTCCGTATGTATGAACGCGTCGATTTCAGAATATATAAGAGCTAGGGACTAAAATTTTTTTAATGTCCGTATTACAGCGCGGATATCGAGTTTATCACAAAAAATCGATAACTCATCCCGTTATTTTGCATCGATAAAAAAAACCTTATCGAAAATCAGTTATAAAATTATATCTCCTACACCTTTAAAGCTAGAGTCTCCATGCATTATATGCATTTTATAYAATTTCGGTTTTTGTTAAAATTTACCCTCCCCCCATTTTCCACCCCCTCACCCACATATTTGTAAATTACGTATTTCAAGTACTACAAACTTGTGCTTTGGCAAATGCATGCATATTTATGTTATAATCATAATCTGAAAGTTTCTTGAAGATAGTCAATCCACAAGAAAAGCTGTTAAACAATTAAATTCGCATAGTAAGCGCACACTGCAGTCCATGCGTGTTTATACGTGTGTGTGTGTGTGTATGTTTCTTATGTAAGCAGAAAGACGCGATAAGTGATTGAAATAGCTGTTGCTCGAAGGGTTGAGGGGATCTCGTAGTCGAGCAGTCTTGCAAAAACGATTAAAGCAGACTTCAACGGGTCTCGGCTCAACAAGATAAACTGTAAATATTATTTTGTGACTTATTTATTACAGCCCACCACTCAAACATAAATAAGGCTTGCTTTTAAGCATCCAGGATATTTTTAATGGTATTTGGTATTTGGTAAGACTCTTGGTTTGGCATTTCATGATGCTGTCATTATGCGAGGCCGCATTGTTTAAAGATCAAATGCCAAAGTGTTTGGAATTTATGAAACTGCTCGTCCTGCCTTCTGACATGGCTGGTCCTGGTTCTGCTTCGCACTCATCCTTGTGCTGTTCGACAACGAGGCGTAAGGAATTCGATTGGGGGTGGCAGTTGACTATTGCACGTACTACAAATCAATACAGAATGTGCTCATACTTATCGCTATCTCCCTTTTGCTTCTGGCATATTTCCTTTAATTAAAAAAGTTCCGCAATGTTTCCAAACAATTGATTCCTAAGTTGACATCGTTGACATTTTAATGCGTTTAGTTCCGCTTGTCACTTAATGCGAGCTTTATCCGCACTATTAACATACATATCGACAGGGCTGCTTAGCAGTCAAATACGACATTAATGTGCCAGCTCATTTTTCTCAGTGCAGAAAGGATATACGTTTTGTGCGAATGTGTGGATATAGTTCATATATTTTCTTATGAATTTCGAATATATGTACATAAACTGCACATGATGAAACACAAAGCTTAACTGCTGGATATGTACAAGAAACGAATAATATTTCGAATAGCAGTCTGCGCAGGGTTATTACACGTTTTTATACCCTGAACCCATTGAAAATGGGAAATCAGGGTATAATGGTTTTGTGAAAAGTATGTAACAGGCAAAAGGA